CACACACACACACACACACACACACACACACACACACACACACACACACACCACAGTAAACATTGTAATATAATGTGAAAGAGCTAAAATATGCGGTAGCGTCAAGAAACAATATTATGAATAACGTAATTTGGAAGTCACTGAGATTAATAAAAACTCACTTGATCGGCACAGAAAAAGAAACACACTACTTAAGTCTAAGCTAGAAAACAAACTGAAAGTGAGAAGCAATAAACCGCTGGTCCTGGCTTCTAGTACAGTACTTCACTCGTATTTTCTACACCCCCACCCAAAATATCGATGTGCACTGGACCCGTTAAATATATGCAATAAGAACTGTCCTGTATGATGACAAAAAGTCAATTGCTACTGTACCAGTGACGCTGTCCCAAGCAGATCAAGTCTACAATCAGATGCTATACAAAGCTGGACAAAGCTGTAATGCGATGATAAAAGTGCTATCTAATCCTAGATTCTACTCGTTAGTCTATCTACGTTGGTTTCAAATACTCACTGTTTCGAGCGGGGAACGATGAGTGTGAGTCGTACAGGTCCGGAGCTCTGTCCACTGTGTCGACCCACCAGTAGCGTCGATCCCTGCTCAGACTAGATCTAGGTTTTAGTCGTGGCTCGGAAAGCCAGTTTAACCTTCGCCGTCTGTTTATATACCCCCCGTGCTCCCTTATTCTCCTACACTCACTATGCTACACTGAGTTTGTTTACTTATTTCACGTGATTCTGGCTTGTCTGGTAATCACAGCGAATTATAAACCACAAGTTTCCGATCATTATATCATCAAATGTACTTCATCTCACTTCTCAGTTCTCAGAATTGAACACTGAACACTGTGTTGTAACAAAATGGGGAAGTGTGTCAAATGCTAATTATAGAACTTGGTGTCTAGCTGGGGTGAGGGTTGAAAAGGGGAGGGAAGGGAGGGGGTTTTCGGCCCAGACTCTGACAGCCGAGTGTCTATCGCTCCTCGTTAAAATTTTCCTTATATATCTTCACTAGACGATTCCTTCTTTCGCCGGCCAGACTCCTAAGGGCCAGGTAAGTTATTAGTGGGGAGAAAACGATGAGTAAATGTCAAACAGGAACTATAGGTGGTTAAAAAGTCAATAAACAAAAAAGATTAGTGCCACGCTGACAATAAATGTTCTGATAGCAGTTAGAGAAAGGCTGAATGATAAATACATGTTTTGCTGATAAAATGATACATGTGTCTGTGCTTAATTTTGTAAGCTACAAAGAAGCCAATCTGGCAATTAAGGGATGTACTAATCGCTCTGTGGGCTGACGATGGATTTGTCCATGGGACTGACGTCATCGCTAGGCCTAAGCCAAGCCCGCCGTGTGTTTGGCCTCGTACGTAGTACGAAGTTCCGCGACGTGACGGCTTGACGGGAGACGATTTAAAGTTACGAGCCGGCGCGATTACAAACATGAAGGAATGAGGTTCTGTCGCGACAAAACAGCAGTGAATCCCACTTGTCTATTTGAGCGCCTTCAAATCGGCAAGATGTTTTTGAATGTTGATACATGTTTATTTGGATTTACTTAAAACTGAATGAAAATTGTCATCAGCAATAAACCTCTAGTCAACAGTTCAGTTGACAAAAATCTGACCGGCACCACCGGTCTTGCCCAGTTAACAAACCGCCCCAGATTATTATTATTATTATTATTATTATTATTATTATTATTATTAATAATTATACAATTATTATTATTATTATTGATTTATTATTATTATTTTTATTATAATCATTATTATTAATAATAATAATATTATTATCATATTATTGTCATTACTATTACTATTATTATTACTATTATTATTATTATTATTATTATTATTATTATTATTATTATTATTATTATTATTATTATTATTATGATAAGATAATAATACGATTATTATTACTGTTATGATTATGGATATTGTTATTATTATTTTATTATTATTATTTCTATTATTGTTACAATTTTTATCATTATTATTGTTTTTAATTGTATTTTTATTGTTTTTGTTATTATTATTAACCAGATTCGCCAAGCCACCTTTTTGTTTTTGTTGATCATACGACCATTTTGTCCACAGAGAAATCTGAGCCCGTGGACTTTGTGAACCTGAATACTTCGGACAGCTCTGTGGAGATAGACGAAGCAGACTTCCCTTACTCTCCTGATGACACGCTTCTGGCCGAGTATGTGTCTGCCTCCACAGGTGGGTGGTACCCTCAGTGATGACGGTGATGATGATGATGATGATGATGATGATGATGATGATGATGATGATGATGGTAATGATAATGGTGTTGATGGTGATGGTGATGAAGATGATGATGATGATTATGATAATAATGAAAATGATAATGATAGCAATATGATAATGATGATTATATAAAATAGGCTATATCGTTGGCAGAGAATTCTAACCGTCTAACTCGAAATTT